GGACCACGACTAACCCGATTACCAATGTGCTCTGGTTTTGTAGCAATTACTGTAGTATTTCACCGGTTTTTAGACTAGTCGAGTATAAGTCTGTCCAAAAAATATCTTTACCTAGTCTCTGTTGTTTCTCTCTCTTAGAAAAGAGGACTTTGAAAGTAGTCTTACAGAAAGGTGTCTCCCCAGTGTACAACTACATCTTCTCTGTACTTGTTCACCTAAAACGTATGATCCACTGGAAATTGTGAGGCTTATGTATGTAGACGACTGTTTTATCTCTGTCTAAGGACAAACTGATTGGCTAGTCTCGCCTGGTAGACTACCCGAGACTTTTGACTTTGACAACAACACTACAACCACAAAAAACAACAACAAACGTCGTCTAGACTTCGAGATCGACGAGGAGGTCGGGGGGCCGGATACCCTGGGAGGACGACAGCCTCTCCTCCTTCACGCCGCGGAGGGAAGTCGAGGACCATCGAGGAGTCGGAGAGAGCTAGTCCAGCAAAAACCACCGCGCCTCTGACACCTCGACCGCGGTCGAGTTGAGTCCTGAAGTCGAGGCGGTGGACTGTCCTCTCTGCCTCGTTTTCCGCTTTAACCTCTAACTCTCTCCTCTTTTCTTCTCTCTGCCCCTAACTATGTTCTCTCCCTCTTAACTTTTACCTAGTTTACTTTGTCCTTCGTCTCTTTTGTCTTTTTTGGCTTATTAGGTAGTGACAGGGAAAAGAAGGTGAGGACTCAATAATTTTGTCCTATAAAATGTATACAGTTGAAGATAGGTTGTCGATGAGGTTTCTATCGGACGGCCTGGATCCTTACAGGTAAATTCATTGTAAATGAGTTCATAAATTTGAATTTTCCCCGCGATAAGACGAGTTTAGAAGTCCAACTATAAAATATACACACGATGACACTGTAACAGAGTGTACGAAATTACAAGTTTTTCGAGAAATAAGAAAGAGTACGACGTCGTGGAGAAAAGTGGGAGGACAGACTTTGGTCTCGGTCAGACGGGACTAACCAATCGCCGCCGAGACAACCACTAACCAGCCGGCAAATTCCGTGTGATTGTCCTTTCCCTTGGGGGTTTTTCGTATTATCCTGCGGTGAAATTCAAACGGATATAAACTGACACAATAAAAGGATTACATACGCAAGAAATTTATTATAATCACACCGCACCACGTATTACTATACTATAAAATCCAGTAGACATTAAGATTGAAAAGGTGTAGAGACGGTCACACTGTCTTCTGTTGTGAACCAACGGAGACTACTCTTAGAAGTCAATAAAAACTACACAAAAGACACGTCGAGTGGAAGGTAAAGTAGGTCCAAACCTCCATCCGTGGCGACCAAAAACAGTGGTGTCCAATTGCCTCGTCTTTCAGACTGCCCTGACCAATGCCGGACAACTGCTCCGTCCGCTGTCCAGCTCCTCCCCTCCTCCGAGCAACTTGACCTTCTTCTCCTTTACGACACTAGTACAGACTCCAGACAACCACCTCTTTTCAGTTAATTTAGGGGAAAATGTGTTCGAAGAATAAATTTAAAGGGTGGTTCCACAGCATGTTTCATGTTATTGTACTGATAGATCCCAACCTTTATCCCGAAGTGTTGATTAAACTTTAAAAATAGCCTTAGCGTTATATCCCAGCCACGTTACAGGTTAGCGTAATCTCGTGTTGTCCACTTTCCTCTTATACACTTTATTAACCTTACTTCAAACCGACGTCTCTAGCGGTGAGATTTTAGGTGTAGTATAAATAAAACTTGGTAATTAATTAACTTGCTAATGACAAATTTTTTTGTAATGTAGATCGAACTATATGTCATTCTACACACGTTATAAGGATTGGGGCTAACTCGGCAGGTGATTTGAATGACCCCCCACGCCCGTCCTACCGGCACCATCAACATCACGACGACGACGACTGAGTTCCTTAACGGTCGACGTCCTCTCGGTCACGAACGACGACGTCCTAAAAACCACATCTTCTCAGGTCTACCCTACCTCCGAGGAAATAGAGGGGAAGATCCAGGCCCTCCCTACATTGACTACCATGAATTGTGAAAAATTAGATCCTCGCTTTGTGTAATTGCCGTATTGTCTAATGTTTGAACATACGTCGAATATGCAGTTAGCTCAAAAAATGGTAGAAACTTTCTCCTTTGTTTTTCAGATCGAAACCGACCGCAACAGGAAACCAAAGAACACAGGAGACACGCTCGCCAGGTCTCGAACCAAACACTACCTGACTTGTTCCTTCGTCTCTACTACCATGTCACGAATAGCATCCCGACGGCTAATACCGTTTTTAGTATTATAGGCTAATAACCCAGTTATTCACATTAACGCTAATAATTTACACTAATAGGTAACTTAAACTCTTTGTAGTAAATAAACCTCTTAAAAAAAACTTGTCATACAAAAATCTGTCAACTAATGGGGACTTGAAATTCATAGTTAAGTTGACTTTTTGGGGTTTTTTTTTATATAAACTTTTTATGTATATATAACTATGGTTTTTTTAGCAAAATAAAGGCTAAATGCAACAAAAGCATAGCAACGTATCGGGTATGTAGGCATTAGCACTATTTATGCTAATTGACTGTCGGGATCGAATAGCATTTTGAAAATATTTCTGTCGTCATTAGTTGCAGGTCATAAGTGAGATGAACATCGGTTGTTGAGACAAACCAGAATCCGGTGTGTTGCTCATACTCCTAGAGCACCATTGAGTTCTTTGTAACCAAATGTCTCTCAGAGGGGCGTGGGGAGGGGCTCCTTATTTTCATCTAAAGTAACAGACAGAGAATCAGCACTTTGGAAACAGGGCTGAAACAGAGGGGATTATGGGTAATGCTGCAATGATCTGTTTGGTGTTTGGAGCCAAACACTTCAGAGACATGTTGGTATCTGAGACCTATAATATATTGATGAAAAACAGTAAAATCGGGGACCTTTTAAAATATATTGTTGTGCTTTCTACTCTTTCTTTTCCTCTGTATAGCCGATATGCCTCTGCAGCAACTGTCCCTCGGTGGATCCGTCTCCCCCCAAGACGACCCCCTCACGCCCTCTGACCTCTCCTCCATGAGTCCAGATACCGGCTTTAACAGCGACCCCCTGGGGGAAATGGTCTGTATTGTTTTGTTGACATTGACCTTATATTAGATAAGCCCAGAAATGGGGTTAGATGTACCATCTGCCATTCAAGTCTGCCTATTAACGCTCTTCTTTATATCAGATTTTGTATATTGAATAATTGTTATGCTAAAACTGTAAGAAGAAAAAACACTATCTGGTTAAAAAAAAGCATAGTCTATTGTTGTAAATGTACTATGTTAACATCCAAGTGCACTAATGAGTAATGTTCTTACCATATTAGTGTTGTCACTATATATGATAACAACAATGTGAGACACGATTAATTTGAAATTTAAATATCTTTATTTTTTTAAACTATTGTGGTATTTTTTACTTTTTTGTACCACATATATATCGATGACCTATACTGCAAATACTTAGTAATATATACTTTGTATGAAATGTAAACATTACCTGCAAAAGTATTTGAATTTCATTTCTTCTCGCTTTTTATTTTTAAGACTTTTGAGGTTTTCTTGTATGTAGTTTGGTCTATTTTATTTCGTATTTGAATTGTATTTTTCAACTCTTATTTAAATATTTTGAGGAAGAGGCAACAACTACATCTCATTGTGCCGTCCTGTATGATATATATTTACAATGCTAAATCCTTTAATACAATTAATTATGACTAAATGTTTCCTAAAAATAGCACAGTGACTGTACACTTACCCATTTTAATGTTCTCTCGCCTCCAGATGAGCTCACCTCTCAGCCCGGTGAATCTTCAGCCATGTTCAGCTGCTCCTCTGGCTACACACATCAAAGAAGAACCAATGTGTTCCCCTCCAGCTCCCTGTCAGTTCTCTTTAAAGCCGGCCTCTCTGCGGACACATTGCCCGATCACCGCCCCGGCTCCAGCGGTGAATCTGGACAAAGACCGGCTGCTGCACGAGAAGGACCGGCAGATCGAGGGTCTGACGCGGCTGCTGAGGCAGAACCAGCGTCTGGTGGAGCTGCTGAGGCTGCAGCTGGAGCACCGCAGCAGGGAGGGGGCAGAGCCGCTGGTTCTGGTACGAGTTAAACAAGAACCTCCTGATAAACCCAGCGTCCCTCTCTCTTTCCGCCATACACCGTCACCTCTTTCACGTGAGATGGTAACTGTCAAACAGGAGGCCACTGATTCAGAGGAGAGTGAGACAACCACACAATTACCAGAAAGAACTCAGGAGGCGCAAATCAAACCGCAACAGATGAACACTCAGACTAAACAACTTCTGCAGCAAAGCACTCTGCAGCTGGCCCAGCAGCAGGCCGTACAGCAGCTGTTGCTCCAGCAGCAGCGCAACATTCAGAACCAGCAGCAGCTCATCCAGAACCGCAGTCAGACGGCGGAGAACCTGCAGAAAGTTTCTCAGCAGAGGAAGAAGAAATCTCACAAGCAGCAGATCAAACAGCAGCAGCAGCAGCAGCATGTGTTGCAGTCACAACAACAGCAGCAGTCAAAACAACAACAACAACATCAGCAGCAGCAGCAGCAGCTGAAGCAGCAGATTCTGCTGAAGCAGCAGAAGACGTTGCTACAGCAACAGCAGAGCAAACAGCTGCAACAGATCCAGATCCAGACCAAGATCCATGTGAAGCAACGACAGGCAGCTCAGGTCAGGAACGAGCTTTAAAGAGGCCCTATTCTGCTTTTCAGGGGTTTCCCTCTCCTGTAGTGCGTTATATCGGTTTGTGTGCATGTAAATGGTCTGCAAATGCTTAAATTCCACACTTCACACCAGAGGGAATTTCTATGTCCTCTTTATAATGTCATTAACGTTGGTCTGCCTCATTATGCTGATGCTCTCAATGTCATTCTGATCTAGTCAGATTCTAGAAAATATAGAATATATTAAGCGGTTGCCAGAATTACCCCGATGCCCTGAGAAGCAAGGGAGAAAAAATCATTCTAAATTGTAAATATATATATAGCCACATTAACAACATAAAAGGGGAATAGTCCTTATAAAAAAGCAAATTAAGTTAAAGTACTAATACCGCACTGTAAACATAACCCTGACATACAAGTACAATTGCTGTATTGAAATTGGTACTTCAAGTAATACAAGTATAAAAAAGTCCCCTGCGGCTGTTATATACTATTAAAAACATATTATTTTTAATATGAATTAATGTGCTGATTTTTTTCCCTTTTCAATTGAAATGTTCAGTTTGCAAAAATATAGAAAATATTGAATTTCCAGCTGATTTCTGGGCTTGCTCAAATGAATTATGATACAAAAATGTTAACATATCCGGCTTCTTCCTCTAAAGTCTTGTGGGTTTCGTCCAGGTGTCTCAGCAGCCAGGCTCAGCGCCCTCTTTCCCTCTGGATCTCTTCAAGGGCGACTCCACCCCCACTCTGGTCACCGACGGAAACGGCAACCACTTCCTGATTGCACTGACCAATCACATCGCTCAAAGCCAAAGAACTGATGCACCTGAGAGCAAAGCAACCAATCACATCGCACTGCAGGTACCGGACTCCTTTTTGTCAGTACCAGAGATGGCAAAAGTACACACATCCTTTACTCAAGTAGAAGTACAGATACTCGTGTTTAAAAATACTCTGGTAAAAGTAGAAGTACTGACTAAACCTCTTTACTCAAGTAAAAGAAAAGAAGTATGGAATGTACTTAAGTAAAAAGTACCCATAACTAGCAGCTGTTTTAAAGACTTTTTGTTTGCATAGACGTAGTGTATTACAAATATCAAAACTAATATTATTGTGTACATTTTTCGTTTTCCACTAGCGACTACAGTCCACTCCAGCCAAGCTCCCCAGCCACAACGCTGTTCAGCAGACAAACGCTGAAAATCATTGCCAACAGAATGTGGGATTTTTAAAACAGCAAGAGACAAAGGTGAGAATTAAAGTAAAATATGTTTCGTCTGAATTTGTCGCCAGATTCAAAGTAGCCGTTTTCTGTGTGTGTTTTCTGTGTTACGGCACAATCAGCTGTCGTTAATTAAAAGCAGAAAACAGAAACATAAGCTTACCATAGTCCACCAATATCAATATATTTGAAAGGATGGTGTTAATGAAAGTGAACAGAGCAGTCTGTTAGAGCTTCATAAAGAGAGAAACATGAGGCCTGCTCCGCTGAGTCCGATCGATATTAACTGCTGGAGACGGTGAGAGCAGTCTTAGATAAGAGTCTCTGACACTAGCCCGATGCTAATTATTAATGCTCGGCTAATTACTCTAACGTCTTCTTCCCATTACCGTGATGTATGTTGTGAACAGGAGGAACAAAAACTCCACTGCGTCGCGGCTAATTGAGACGTAGAGAATCTGCAGGTGTGCTGGAAAATGTGCAGATTTGGAAAATGCTGTCATCAGCAGTCTTTGCCGACTCCTCTTATCGCACTCTGAGGAGACAGAAATTATAAGTGATTTCAGATGTTACTAAAATAACTAGTTCTGCTGCCTTTGAATTATTTTTCCTTATCGTTAACGGGAAAACATTTTTTAACCCCTTTCCTTCTCTTGCACTGTTTTCTTACTCTCTTCTGTCTTCATTGCCCGTTCAGCAGTCCTTATTGAATCCAAAGTTTCATGCACCTGCAATATCAAAAATGTAATATTAAAAAAAGTATTCCAGTGTTTTCTGAGTATTAGATGGAAAACTAGTACGTTTTTTTAATCACAGCTGACTTATTTCTGCGGTTTGATATGCCTGCACATCGTCCTATATTCAGAGCGTCCATAGCAACGGTCTGCTATGACAAACTGCTGAAATTCCAAATTGACCAATCAGAATGGATTATCCAACCAAACTGTTGAATAATCCTGATTTATTTTTTAACATATCTTATTTTTTTAATATTTTTATCTTATTATCTTTGTTTGAGCTGGTATTTCTGACTGTTATTATGGAATGTTTTGTTGTTGTTGTGCTATTACTGCTCTGAACCTAAACTTCCCTACTGGGATTAATAAAGCTTGTTATGTTTTAATATCGTATTTTATGTTATCTCATCTTCTCTTATTTGACCCTTAACTTTGTTCTGATTTGTATCCACAGAATGGGAGACCTCAGGAGTCTGTAGTCCATCAGCAGGACGTTTCTCAGTGTCTGTCTGCCCCCCCCAGCCTGAAGCCTTTCTTTAAGGACCAGGAGAGTTCTCCTTCAGGGAAATACTCACCTCCTTCTCAAACCGTAAGTCATCTGCAGATGACATGGACAATCTATCAAGATGACTCACAAATGATTTAGTTAATACTTCAGATGCACAGGTAACTAATGTTTCCCTTTTCTCTCTCCCTCCTCCTCTCCTCCAGGAGTTGTGTCCCAGTCTGGATGTCTTGTTCAGTCCTCTGTCTCCAGCTTCAATTTGGACATCTGCCTCATCGCCTGATAACAAAGTATGACATTTTATCATGTACAAAATGTATTAAATCGTCTTAATCCACATTTAACTACAGTTTATAGAAAAGAGAGTTCAACCCAATGCTATTTCTGATCATGATGGTTTGGTGTGAGTTGCCTAGCTGTACATTTCTCGGCCTAAATATAATAAAACCTGTTGGCACTCTGCAGCAATGTGTCTTTCAGGAAATCATGACCCAATTACTCAAGATATTCCACAGCGCTTTCAGTTTAATGTAAGAACTATTTTACCATCTACCGAACCCCACCCACCATCGTATCCCTGCACAGAAAGAAACGTTTCCTACTCCTGGACCAAATTAGTGCGGGATGTGATATGTCTTTGCATCGTCCTCGCCTTAGCTGTAATGTTAGCTATTTAAGAGAGAAGCATATAGATTAAAAAACTGCACTACAGGAAGAGGACATGTTTTTTCACTGTGTTGTTTTTCACTGTATCTTTCCTCATTTAACAACAAGTGCTTGTGGCATCTTGTTATGAGCAATGTTACATTTAAACACAGTTGTAACGAGATGTTTCTTCTGTGTGTGTCCTCAGGATACGGAGCCTGAAGAGGATTTTATTGACATCATTTTGCAGACAGGAGGTAAGCTGCAGCAACAGTGTTTGATTACTTTAAATGAGTGTTTTTAAATGCCATTTTGTAACTTCTTAATGTCTTTGAATTGCCTTGTGTTGAAAGGTGCTATATAAATACACTTGCCTTGCTGTATAATATAACGTGTTTATTTAATCAGCAGTTTAATGTGATTACATCGGGATTGACGCCCATATCTGTGTGTTTTCCCTTCAGAAATGTCGACCACCTACAAACCAGCACCAGACTTTTCTCCCCACCATGTAATCTCTCCTCAACCTCCCTCCCCCCTCCACCTGCTGCTCTCCCCCCCGCCCCACCCAGCTGTGACACCTCGCAGTCTGAGCTCCAGGCCTTTGACGACACCACAGAAGACAAACAACACCTCGGTAGCGCTGGGAATGGCCGCCTGGAGGACTTCCTGGAAAGCACCACTGGGAAGCCTCTCCTGGGGGGGGAGCCTGGGGGTCTGATGACTCTGATCGATGACCTCCACAGTCACATGCTGTGCACCCCCAGCATCTTGGACCGCCCCCTGTCTCCCCTGGATACCTTCGACATGGCAGCGGAGGGGGAGTCGGGGCTGGACTGCATGGATTGGTTGGACCTTACCATGGGAAGAGAGAGGGAGGAGGAGACCCCCACTCTGGCCCCTCTTGGCCCACAGACACCACCAAGTGTCTTTTGCGCCGACTTCCTAGACACCTATGACCTAATTTAGTCACTTGTTAGCAAACTGCTGTTTTAAAGGTCACCTATTATGCAAAATCCACTTGTTCATGTCTCTTCTACATCAACATGTGTCCCCTCTGTGGAAAGAGACTCTGAAAGTTTCAGGAAAAAAGATTCTCTCTCTTTTTGTCCTGATCATTTATATAAAAAACCTGTCTGAAAACGAGCTGATCAGATATTTGGCCAATTTATGAATGTCATACGATGTTTTGGCTTGTGTAAACCATTAGCCAATCAGCACAAGGTAACCCCCCCCCAATCTCCCTCTAGAGCACCATTGTGTTCTTTGTAACCAAATCTCTCTCAGAGGGGCGTGGGGAGGGGCTCCTTATTTTCATCTAAAGTAACAGACAAAGAATCAGCACTTTGGAAACAGGGCTGAAACAGAGGGGATTATGGGTAATGCTGCAATGATCTGTTTGGTGTTTGGAGCCAAACACTTCAGAGACATGTTCTGTATATATCTGAGACCTATAATATATTGATGAAAAACAGTATGATAGGGGACCTTTAATGACACATAGAAGCTTCAGTGGGGTATCTACTGACCTATTATAGGTCATAGAACAAACTGTGAAAATCTTGTGAGCTGAGACCTCTTTTCCGGCATCAACCAAACACATTTTCAAAAACCCATTGACTCTTAAGAATAGGGAACCATGCTAACTTGTCTCCGGGTTTTAGGACTCATTCCTGCACCACTTTATGGCCTATAGCAAAACGATATGCACACTCACTTACTGTACAGTGCCACACATGCATACAAAAGTATGTCATTGATTGCTGAGGCTTCAGTATCTGATCACAGAGCTCTCGATCTATCCTCTCACGTACTGGTGTATTGAACTTCCAAGCGCTTTGACCCTTTATTTATTTTATTCACACACGGATGTATTGACTTTATTCGGCAGGTCCTATCTGTTCTTGCTGCTTTAGCAACAGTTTTATCAACACATTTCGGACCCGATAAATGATGAGAAAAATGTAACCATGTTGCTTCAACTTAAATTCATCTTTTCTCGGCACCAGTGAAGGAGTGTATCGGTTTATTGGACCTTTGTCTAATAAGAACTGCAAATCCGTAGTTGCCTGTAAAGATAATCAATGGTTGACCACTACAGCGGATCTATACCCAAAGTTAAGTTGAAGGACACCTTTTCTTTCCAGCAACAAAATAGTTTATGGGGATGGAGGAGAGATTTTTGCAGCCAAACGATATGACCATGACTTTGAAAAGACGTTGTGGTTTGATATACATTTTCAACGGTATTATAGATAATAATTTCTTCTGGGTGCACGCCTGTAGGTAATGTGTGAGTGTATGAAAGCACAGGTTTCTTTGGACACTTGCCTTAAAATCTGCCATTTTGTATTTTGACTCCCTTTCTGTTTGCACTTAAATTCATGAGTACACACATAATATAAAAAGAAAAGGTCAACTCCTGCACCTTTAGATTATGGAAGTTTGTTATAATTTAGATGTTGCTGTTAAAGAGGTCCTATTGTGTTTCCCTTTCCTTTAGTGTGTTATAGGTGTTTGTGCTTGTTAATGGTCTGCAAAGGCTAAAATCCCAAAGTTCCCTCCAGAGGGATATTCTGTCTCACACAAAAGAGGTGCTGCAGCACAGGCAGTAAAATAAAGAGCTTTTTGAGTATTAAAGCATGGAGACATGTCACAGTAGAGACACAAAATACAAATATGAACCTGAGAATGAGCATTATTGGGCCGCTTTAATGCTGATATTTGGCTATCCTGTACTGCATCAGTACTTTTGATAATGGGGATGTATTTATATCCTTTCAGTTTTTAAAACTGACTTAATGTATTATAAGATGCATTTATTTGTATAGTGGCTGTTTTTTCTGACAAAATGGCTGTTTGCCAAAACCTCTCTTGAGACTGCAAACGCATTGTCACGTCTTAGGAATTTGCATATTTTAAAGTGTTATGCATTTGTCACCACAGACAAACTAAATCATACTTTCTGACTCTTGTTTTAGAGATGCGTGAATCTATCATATAAGCAGCTAGATTTAGCTGCTTATATGATAGATTCACACATTTTGAAATATTAAACAACATACCCATATGAACATTAATATTTTATTTCTGTTGAAATTATCCCCTCTGGTCATTCTGGCGATCAAGAGATCCCTAATGCCAGACATCGGCTAAATACTTCAAACTCATTTATTTTGTAATAGTTGTTGATTTTTTAAGGACGTTAAGTGCTCCATCAAAGTCACTTTCCTGCTGTATTAACCTTGTAAGTGTTGAACCTCCACATGTCAATGATTGTGAAAGCATTGGGATAATGTTTTCTGTAGTTTTGTGCAAATGGCTTACGCTTCTGTGTAGGGAAATTGTGTTTTTTTCTAAAATTGAAAGGAAATTGTTATATTATTAAAGTCTGGTTTGGTGAATTCAGATTTTTTTTTTTTATTAGATAAACATTTTTGGTACAACTCAACATGTGGTAAACGTTCATACAACTAACCCGTTTCATTATGTTAAGGCTTAAAGCCACACATTATCAGAGGCATGGCTGCTTTGATTGACAGGTGAGCTGTAGCAGAGCCAAACAAATTGCAACCTTCTGCCCTGCTAGGTCCTGTTAATCCACTTCCTCTAACATGCATAGCCTGTCATGAGCCAGACGTGTAAGATTAGGGTTACACAAAGGTCCACACACACAAAATGTATTAACACACACACACATGCAACCCTAAATCCAACACTTTAATGTTGGACTCAGCTTACAAGAAGTTTTGCCGCTGGACATGTAAAAGTAATTCTGCAGATGCTTTGATGCATCTCAGCACAGCAATGGGGGGTATGCTGTGATGCGGTAGTTGCAAACACACACACACACACACACACACACACACACACACACACACACACACACACACACACACACACACACACACACACACAGAGTAACAAATGCATGCACAAACTCAAAGAAAGTAAACAAGGATTAATACTTAAACACAGGAGTGCACAAATACATACATGTATAAACCCACCTAGAGGGGAGAAGCGGTTACATGGTGAGGATGGGGCACAGGTTTAACAAATATTACTTAAAGGGGACCTATCATGTAAAATGCACTTTTTGATGTCTTTTATACATAAATGTGTCCCCGGTGTGTCGGGGAACTCACGCAGCGTCGGAAAATAAAACCCTTTAAAAATAAAGGGTTTTATTTTCCGACGCTGCGTGAGTTCCCCGACACACCGGGGACACATTTATGTATAAAAGACATCAAAAAGTGCATTTTACATGATAGGTCCNCTCGGAGCTGGTTTCTCCAGAAACAAAAAAGCAAAGCAAATTGAATTAATAGAAATGTAAAATGGAAACAGTAGAATATTTCAATTATAAATAAAATCTGATAACTGGTCTCTGGTTTCAGACAGAGGGTGAAAAGAGGTGCTGCAGCACAGGCAGTATGAGAAAAATAAAGAGCTTTTTGAACATTAAAGCATGGAGACATGTCACAGTAGAGGCACAAAATACAAATGTGAAACCTGAAAATGTGCCTGATAGTCACCCTTTAAAAGTGCAGGAGTGAAGTATAGAGGAATATTTCAAACGTGCAGAAAATGTGAGAATCTACCGCCAACCAGACTGTGAAGCTAAACCAGATCACTGAACAATGAGTATAATCTCCTGCCTTCAGTATTTAAAGTAATCCAGTTTTTATGCATTTCGAGGTTGTTGCCACATGGTGCAGATCAAGAGCAGGATGTTCAATCATGTAAAAGGTTCAGTGTGTCATAAAGTAGATCTGTAATCAGCTTATGACTGAAGGGAATCCATTGTGCATGTTCTGGACTAGGATCCGGTTTTGATGTCGTTGTAAAAAAAAATCCCTTCTAAGTTTTTTGTGAGTAGACAGTGGCTCCATCAGCTCATTTTTACCCTTGATCTCCACAAAGTTGTTATCCCTAAAATACTGTAAAACCACTGGATACAAATAATACCAAAGAGTATAAAGCTGGTATTATTCTATTGCTTCTTATTTTCAATAAATCCCATGAACAGAGACCCAAATGTTAGTGTGTCTCTCAATACTGTCTGACTTATGGCTCTTATCTACAAGCACATTAATTCCTACTGAAGAAGTAAATGATGTGGTCATTGTAGTTTTTTGTAATGCATTATATAGGGCTATCTTCAGCTGTGTATGAATCCACCTTTGCTCTCTGGAAAGTAATGTTGGGACAAAGTATACAACCCAGATTACTGAGGCTGAATTTAAACTGATTTCTAGCAAATGGTTTATTTTCACCAATGACAAGCTCTTTTTTTGTGTTTTGACCTGCAAGAAGTTTACGTCTCCAAGGACTAGGACAGGTAGATGCCTAGGACGGTGTGTGTCATCACCATAGTTCATCACCCATGATTAGGAAGTTCATTAGTTTTGCAGATATTTGTTCATAAGCCAAAGCATTTCAGAAGGAAAACGTTTGATATGATGACGGTGCTAGATAAAAAGTCAGAGGATTGCCATTGAAGGGCCCTATCCTGCTAATTCTCAGGTTCATATTTGTATGTTGTGCCTTCACTGTGACATGTCAAAAATAAAGTCAACCTGATAATAAATAAGTGTGTGGGAGAGAATTTCCCTCTGGAGAACACATTGGCATTTTAGGACCATTTAAATCCACAAAAATCTATATAACATATTACATGGAAGGTAAAACCCCAAAAAGCCTCGGAGGGCCTCTTTAAACCTGTCTGTCAAATGATATCTGTACCAAAATGCACTGCTCTCAATCCAATCATTTATAAAAACATTTCAGTGGGCTGATCAACACTACCTATCGACCATAGAGCCACACAGCTAACTTGGCTAACATTAGCATCAACACTGTTTTCTTATCCAGGTGGATCCAGAGCTACAGATCAGATGATGAATAGGAACCAGGTGAAAGCCTCTGTGGAGAGATGTCTGGAGAACGGGGTGAGTCCCTATTATTAAAGGTCTAATGAGAACCCTGGTTTTGTGCGTCTAGTTGGGAAAGGGTTAGCCTAGCTTAGCACAAATACTGAAAGCAGGGGGAAACTGCTAGCCTAGATCCATCAACAGAGGAGTGAAAACAACCTTCAAACACCTCCAAGTCTGTCAAATTGACATGCTTTACAGTATATATGCAGTCTATTTCTAAAGTTAGTAGGCTTGTGTTTTTTTAATACATTTGAAACAGATGTGGAATAAGAATTGCTAAATGGACACATGGCGGTTTTAGCAACAGTTAGCTTTGGAGCTATTGCAGGAAGAATTGGCGCGTAACTTGCTAACTAACAAGTCAAAGTATTTACTGCACACTGCCAACAAAAAAGTGAAATAACATACAAACACACACTAGACTAGAGCCTCCATCATCTGTGCTGTTATTTGAATTATCACAAAGTCATGAAGGCTGCACCTTATGCATCTCTGAAAGTTTGTTTATGTAGATTTGAAGGTGAACTCTGACGTGAGTGTGTGTGCGTGCGTGCGTGCTTGTGTGTGTTGCAGGTCTCAGCTCCTCGTCTGGACATGACGCTGAGCGACCTACAGGATCTGGCAACCCGTCAGCAGCTGCAGATTAATGCCCAACAGCAGCTACTGGCCTCCAAAGTACGAAACACCCAACACACACCGCTGCCACACTGCTAATGTTGCTATTACTGCTACTGCTAATGATAGAGTGTGCTGGAATGAGTCCTAAAACCTGGTTATGAGTTAGCATTTGATGCGCTTCTGGTGTCCTCGTCTCAAAGTTTTTTTAAACAGATTTTTGGTTGGATGCCTGATATAAGCTCTGTGGTTAACACAAGCTTAAGAGATTTTCAGATTTTGTGTACCACATTGAATACGTAATTAAATACTCAAAAAGATATGTCATCACTGCAGCACTTAATATCACCAAATAGACAAAACCCATCAGATACTGCTGATCTCTGCAAACATAGTTTCTGCTGTTATGTTGTGGCCAAAATTACCTCTTGACCACCTTTTGTTCTCTCAGTTATACTTAACACTAGTGTACACATAACGGCTTTAAAATACTTACACTGAAGTCACCATTAGATCGTCTCATAGCGTCTAATATCTTCTTTCAAAACCTTCCTCTTTTTTTGTTCAACTTTGTGAACTTTTCATGTGAAATACTGAGTACAAAATATTGAATTGACTGAAACTGAAACTATTTGAACAATTATTAAATACAAATATAGCAATGCAGCACTTAGGCGTGGTCAACAGACTCTTTGTACTAATTTAGTTTTGACTGGACTCTAGTGCTTTCCGCTCCACAGGCTTCACCTTGCATGCATTGATTTGAAACCTGACTGTGTTTGCTGTGTGTTCTGGAGCAGGAGCAGCGGCTGCGTCACCTGAAGCTGACGGACCAGCGGCAGCAGCAGCAGGAAACGTCTGAACAGGACCGCCTGCAGCAGCTCAGAGAGAACGCTCTCAACCAGGAGGCCAAACTGAGGAGGGTCCGAGCCATCAGGGGCCAGGTGGAGCAGAAACGCCTCAGCAACAGCAAGCTGGGTCAGTGTGGTGGAGGAATGAGTGACTTAACAGGTTTTTAGCAACAGAAACACATCAAAATGTTGCTTAAAATCAGTTTTAGGGACTGGGACAATTGTACGTTCTCAAACTGCACCACTTAGAACTAACTCAACAATGCAGAGATTATTTTTTTATAATTTATTATCGATGTTTTGCAATACTAAGCACTCCTGAGAACTTTTTGAAAAGTAACAAATAAAATAATAAAAATCTTGATTCTCACTACTTTAAGCATTTTCATTCTCCAATAACCTGCATTTGTTTTGCCCATCTGCAAAAACAAACTACAGAGTAACATATGTTTCTTGTAAACTTTATGTGATAATCAGATTAAATTTTTGATCTAATTGACAGCACTTAGTTTCTATGTAAAAGAATAGTAGTATAATGGCATTTTCGAATGGTGGCTTCAAAGAGGAACATAGACAGTTTCACTGTAGAATGAAGTATGGTATAAATGTATAAAGAAAGAAAAGTGGCATAATAATACTGGGAGGAGGGCGTGTTCACAGAGGGTGTTTATGATTTTTTTATTTTGTTGTTCAGAATCACACTGAAATGTGGATGAATAACATGTTCTCTGCCTCTCGAACAGTAGACGTAACATCAAACATGGACAAGTTGGTATTTTACTTATAGCCACACGGAAGGTTCTGGTGTGAAAAAAAACGATTTATTCTAACAGAATCTGACAACATAATTATATTATATCCAGATAACTGCACCCATATCTGCTTTGAAATCCTGCATTAACGCCGTGCCATAATGTGGCCACAGATTCAGTCAAGAATAAAAATGAGGCCGTGCCAAATCCAAATGGCAAGCAAACAATAATATATACGAAAAATATTCCTGGAAATTAAGGATATTGCTAAAGTCCTGCTTTTTATTTAATCAATATTGAAAAACTATGTATCATATCGCAGCAGTTAGTTATGCATACAAATAAACCGCAGTCCTTTTTAGAATAGAATCCTTTAGTGTCATCATGCAGGGACAATGGAGATAGTTAGAGCTACTCCTTTTTTTAACGGTGCCATCAAACATACCAAAAAACAAACAGAGACTTACGACATTCAGGAGAAGACAACTTACAAACAGCATTCATACTTTCCAATATGCAGATTTATTCATACGTGGCTGTTCTCTCTGTGTTGTCGTAGTGGAGGAGATGAGCAGATGACGGGCTCTTCCAGCAGAAGGCAGGTGGAGCTGATGGTCCGCCGTGTCGAGGTGGTGGAGGAGCTGAGCGACGCAGGCTGGATACTCTGAGGAGCACAGAACATGAGGCCTCCCTCTTCCTCCTCCTCATCATTCACACACCTCGCTCCGCTGCGGAGGCTGGAGACGACTTTATAGAGAAGCTGCAGGTGAGGCCTCGGCTCTAATTATGGCCCTGCTGGTTGTGTTGGGCAGCTGCATTAACCATCACTTCCATAGATCATTTTGAGGAGGCACACTGGATGGAATGGTGAGACTCGCCTGGTTGAAGCATCAGATGATAACCTACGGAGCATTATGTGATGTAGACCCTCAGAAAAACGCGGGCAAAGATCCTTGATTATGCGGGCTAAAATCCTTGATTATGCGATTAACATGCGGGTTTTTATGTGATTTTATGCGTGTGAAACTGCGAGAAGTTGCGAAATATGCGAGAAGTTGCGAAATATGGCTAAATATGCGGGAAAAATTATCGATTTTTTTTAAACTATTGGGCTGTCTTATTTACTCTCTCACACACAACTGCCACTAACGTTTTTTAAACCCCTTTACTATTCAATTAAACACATTCAATGTTTATTTATTGTAAAAGCAATTGGGCTAATTTAATCTCACAACACCTCCAACACACACACACACACACACACACACTTCTCCGCCTCATTCTGTTTTCATTTACTTCGTTCGTTATCTGCAGCTTCAAATCTTGTAGGCTACTCACCTCGTTTCTTGTAGCCCTCGAAAGGGTTTTTGGAGGTTGTGATGCCTCCCTGTGAACGTGAGGTTGTTTGGCTTTCTTGTCCGCGGCAGGCAGAAAAGCATTTGCGAATGTCTTGGAATGAATCAAAGTGGGTCGTCACCGTCGATTTTCTCTTATGCTCCAACACACAGTTGCACGGGGTGCAGAATAGTTTCCCCCCACCTTTTTGCCCGGTCTTTAGTAGAAATGTTCGTCGGTAAATGAGATGGATTACATATTTTCATCTTGGTGTTTTCTCTATCGTGTGAGCTCACACGTTCACTCTATACAGTGTTGTTTACATTCTGTGATGCGCGAGCTGATGCGTCAACGTCAAGACGAAGTTAACTTTTTTTTCTCAACTTTGTTGTGGAAAAATGCGGGGATTATGCGGCCTTTTGATAAATATGCGGCCTTTTGGAAATCTGCGCCATTTGCTGGATTATGCGGTAAATTCTGCGACGCAAATCGCGTTTTTCATGAAGAGGGTCTAATTATGGCTGGACATTTTCTCAATTAAAGGGACTTTGAGTAGGATTTAGTGGACCGTCAGTAGTGAGCTTCATGATTGGAATTAACTCTGAAAACCCTCCAAGCATGTCGGAGAACTACGGTGTCCTTGGACGGTACATTTTGTGGTGCATTCGTGGCAACCAAATCAAAGCTGCAACTTCAATGTAAAAATGTTCGAGGCCCCCTCTTTTGGATGACATTGTTCGTTGTTAGGTTTTTTCGTTATGGGGTGTTTTCTTTTCTCCTTAAAATAGTCAAATTGAGTATAAAATTATATATTTAAAACAAGACTTCACAGTTGTTGAGAAATCCTACCCTTTTCTCTTTTGTCCATACCTTACCCACGTTTCCCTTGAAGATGAGACCTACTTATGATGCTGATTTCAAAAGAAAAGCAACTTTAGGCACAAAAGAACTCATATTACTCATTTTTATAATTATTACTCATGGGTTTTGGAGGTTTCATCCACGCTAGGTTTATGCGACAAGAGAACTATCTATTTGGGAATTTAACAGGAAAGCTTATCTCACTAGCATAACCTGCAACATTAGCCTCCTCACTTCCTACCTGTTTTTCACTGGGCTCCTCTCTGACCCTCCAGATGAGGAACAAGCTGAACGCGGATCAGAGCGGTCGGCATGCAGCAGCAGGAGCAGACAGCCTGAACAAGAGGAACCTGGAGGTCGGCAGCGAGTGGACCACGGCTCGCCGAGTCCTGGCAGCGACTCTGGAAAGAAGAAAGCCGCAACCTGCACGCAGAAAGAGAACCTGCCGGGTGAGTGCAGCAAAAACTGGACTTTCTGAAGAGATTCTGTTGGATGCTGAGGGAAACTTAAAATGAGCGGGAAAATCAGGGATAAGCTCATTTAGCATAAATCAGCGTAACTTCCATGTAACTAAGTAACCAATCGTGTTAAATAACTGTCGACATGGGTCTCTGAAAAAATAGTGACAGTTCTAGTCACAATTGTCCAGAAAAAGCCAACAGTAAGCAATTAAAAAAGTTTTAATCAACCAACCAAACCAAAAAATATTATTAAGAATACAAGAAATGTCTACCTGAACCCACCAAAATAGATGCATTTTACATTTTCTCAATCAAATAATTCATTTAATTTGACTCCATCATTTTTAAAAAAAAGTTCGTATTTTTAATGTACTAAAGCTGTCATTTTAATGTAGTGAGTAAAAAATACAACATTTCTCTCTGAAATGCAGATCAAATAAAAGTAGTGGAGTGAAAAAAATAATAATTTCAGTTAATTGCAATACCTTTAAATGTGTGCTTAAGGTCCACTTTTTGAACTCTACTTTGGTTGCAGCATCAATTTGTAAAGGCCTTTTTTCATCGCCTGCACTTATTATACTTAACGACGACCAAAATTTCTGCCAGCTCCTCAAATATTTCTGTTTCCTCGCAGGCTGCCTTCAGACGGAGGGGCCCTCATGCACGCTGTGGGCTCCAGTAGTTGGCGGCGGTGGGGCCCGTACATCCAGTCACTCCGGCTCCCTTGGGCTCCGGTGCGGCCCGGCACGAGGGTTGTGGTGAAGCCGGGCTTACCCGGACGGCACTGCCACCATTACCCATGCCCGACTCGTCTCTGAAGCCGCCTCCCAGACCCCTCAAACCCGCCTCAGGTACAGCAGTTACAAAAGGCAGAGAAAAGAGAGATATTCATTTTATTTAAAGGATCCCCTATTATACTGTTTTTCATCAATATATTACAGGTCTCGAATATACAAACATGTCTCTGAAGTGTTTTGGCTCTTAAACACCAAACAGATCATTGCAGCATTTACCCCATAATCCCCTCTGTTTTCAGCCCTGTTTCCAACAGTGCTGATTCTCTGTCCGTTACTTTAGATGAAAATAAGGAGCCCTCCCACGCCCCTCTGAGATACTTTGGTTACAAAGAAACCACAATGGTGCTCTAAGGAGGAGGTTCAGGGTGATAAGGTGGGGGGTGGGGGTTGGTTACCTTGGTTGGTGATTGTGCTAATGGGGTTACGCCAAAGCTGAAAATCCGTTATGACATCATAAAGTGGTCAAAATCTGATCAGCTCATTTTTCAGACAGGTTTTTTATAGAAATGGATCAGGACAGAAAGAGAGAGAATCTTTGTCCTGTGTTGATGATAGAAGAGACATGAAGAATGAGGGACACATGTTGATGTAGGNAACGGGTGTACAACGAGCGGATACAGATTTGCTGCCGATCTGACGTCAAATCGGCAGCGGACCCACAGAAAGTTGCTATCAGAAACAATGCCTGACGTGTTTTGGACGTAATCTCGTCTTTGTTTACATTAGCAAGCCTCGCTAACACTCAGAGCTAACCTGTACTTTATAGCACATGTGTTTAAAAAGCAGGAAAGGCAAAAGAGGGGTATGACCAGTACGAGGCATGGCTATAATGTTTTGTATAGCTATGGCCCTACAATACATTTGTCCAATATAGCATAATAGGTCCACTTTAAAAGAAAAAAAAGGAAAACCGTTGTTAATCGTAGTAATGTAGATTGTCATTCATTTTCTGATGGTAATAACTTGTTCAGTAATCTGCCATGTTTATGTTTTGTTTATGATCATTCAGGTGTTGAAAATTATACACTACCTGTTCATATTTCAATTTTTTCTGAACACTATAATCAATCAATGTCAGCAAACTCATACACATAAACATTTTCTGATCTGACGCCAACTTTCGTAATGTCGTCCTGTTGGTAGTGGCGTCAGATCAGAAAATGTTTATGTGTATGAGTTTGCTGACATTGATTGATTATAGTGTTCAGAAAAAATTGAAATATGAACAGGTAGTGTATAATTTTNACTGATCTCTGGTTTCAGACAGAGGGTGAAAAGAGGTGCCGCAGCACAGGCAGTATGAGAAAAATAAAGAGCTTCTCTGTCTGAAACCAGAGATCAGTNAAAATTATACACTACCTGTTCATATNAGATACAGTATGTCCACGTTTTTGAGCAAGTCCACGAATCCAGTCTTTGTCAAGTCTGCCACCACCTTCGCGCAGCTGCTGGCGCCACTTCGTCCGGTCCTCCGCCAGCCTCTCCCGATGTGCATGCAATTAGCATGTTAGCACGTAGCTCCGTGTTTCTGTAAGATAAAGTCTTAAATCAGACACGCAGTGTAATTTTTAATGTTCACGATCTGGTGGATTTCTGAATAATATCACAAAGCAAAACCTCTTGAGTCAAGTCCTCCAGCGGTTTCACTTTAAAGTCAGAAATGAAAAAGGAACAATACATGTTTCTTCAGGATGCTTTCAGACACTTTTAAATCTCTGGTGTGAACTATATGACATCTTTATCATGTTAATACTTTGAAGAGCCAACGCAGGACCAGCAGGATGTGGCTTTTCATTTAAATGTAATTACTCTTATAAAATCCAGACCAGTTTTCATTGATTTCTGTTGGTTTTAAGTGTTTTTATTAATCACAAAGTCATGTGTTGCTCCGTCTATTATCTGTGTTTATTGTAGTTTATTGTTTTGGATCCTTTGAGTGTATGAAAAGTGCTTTATAACTAAAGTTTGATTCGATTTTTTTTATCTCAAATTTGTCTTAAAAAAACATTTAAACGGGTCACAATTGAAAAAAGCACATTATGTTTTGCTGCCATTTTAACATAGTTCTGTCTTTTCAATTCCATTACTTTTTTCATATATATTTTTAAGACACCAGTGCCTTGATTGACGAGACAGAGTTCAATAGGGGGGGACGGAGGGGATAACACATGGTAAACGCTCCCAGGCCGGATAATTCCCCAAACATTTCAGTCAGAAATGTAGTCCTAAAAATGTAAGTTAAGTTAAACAACATATTTTTGTTCCACACACACCTTCAGCCTGTACTCCGGGCATAAACAGTTTCTCTATAACCAGCCTCACTGACGACAGGAGGTCCCCCCCAGCCCCCCCCCACCCCTGTTGTCGTCCTGAGGGACAGACCTCTCCTCGCTGCGCTCTGATTGGCTGCCGGGTTTCCTGTTCGACCTCAGTTTCGTGACTGACGGCAGTGACCCATTTCATCTGCATCAACCTGCTCCATTTTCCTCCAGAGCTGCATGTAGGACAGCTAATTCCTCTCTGCCACTTAGTCTCTGTTGATTTCATTATTTTTAAAGAAGGAGGGACTTTACACAGAGATAAAAACATTGGTTAAATGACTTCAGCTGACGCTTTAGCACGAGGAATCTCCTCTGAATCTCCTCTGCAGACCATCAAATCATGAGAATAACAATATTGCATCTTATTTAAAGAGCACCTTTAATAGTACTCAAACACATTATATTTACAATTTTAACTTATTATTATTATACACTTATACTATGGTATTAAGTGGTGCCCTCTTTTAATATAGCACTTAATTTCCCTTTGCTTCTCAGAGTCCACAGTGAATCCCTTTCAGTTTAAATGTGACGGATCTCAGAAAGTTAATATTACCTTAACAAACCTCTCAGAGTATTTAGGATTTAAAAAGCCAAACATTTAGCATTGCTCTCACTGTTGTTGGCTCTCCATGCCAACTTCTCTCTGCCAGTTCTCTGTTAAATAAATATTTTCTCAGAAATAAACAAACCCGCTCCAATTCCTCCTCCTTTCATGCAGTTGTCATGAATTTTTTGTCATTATTCTGAATACTTTTTTAGCCATATTAGAGACTTTGATAGATATTCATGCTCCCAACAATCTGAAATGTACATATACATACTTTGACATTTTTATGGTTTTCAATACAAATTCTGACGATTTATTGGATGGACTGTGATGAACATGCATCCTCTTTTGATTACTTTAAATACATCTGGTGCTCTGACTCTTTCATCTAATACCCTTACGAAAAGGCTAGACACTGTACTCTCTTGTTTAACTTTAAAAGTAACGTAACTTAACATTAAATCCACCTTTTCAGTGAGTAAATTAGGAACACTGCCTCTATAGTATTCATCACAACCACATTTCTTTGCCTCATACATCTGTCATAAAAGGATTATTAAACATTATGTTCACAACTGTCTGGATTACAATCTCACAAAGAGGGTGGGAATATGTGGATGTTAGAATTGAGGTCTGAAGTTTAATGTAGTTATACTGAAACCTTTCATCACTTTGTTTGTACAGTAGATACATGGTTCCCTGACAATATTGACAATGCCTCCATTGTGGTGGAAAGACACCAGATGTATTTTAGGCTGGATGGCAGCAGCTCAAAGACAGACCAGAAGGAGCTGAAGGCACGAAATAAAAACACAGCGTCTCTTTCACATCTTTAGAAACCATGAAGGACAATTTACATTTATCGTTTTCTACCACAAAGCCAAATCCACTTGTCCCTGTATTTATTCACCCGTGCATTAGAAACTAGATGTACCTGCTTTTTTATTTCACTTCAGTGTTTCCTGTATAGAGGTTTTATTCATGAGCTTCATTTCAACCTGAGCCGACAGCGTCTGCATGTAAATGAGGTTGCAGTCAGTTTGAGAAAGGTCAAAGAAGGCTGCTCATTTTCAAATGACACCAAGTGGAACGAGGTTAATACGAAGACGAGGATTGAATTGAGCTCAGGACAGTCAGATTGAAGGTTGGAATCCACATAAAGAGCATTTGTATGCAGCCATTGAGCAAATCATCTCGAAAACACCACCCTCTCTGGATGAATAACACATTGAGCGCTGCCTCCTGCAGGTTGGCGGCTGTGGGAGGAGATCTGGATCTTGGCCTGATAGCAGACACCCTGCTGTAGTAACAGATGGCCCGGTGCATCATGGGAGTTATGTCCACAAATATCTGTTATAGTCTTAAATAGCACAGGAAGCCATAGAGGTGAAGAGCGCAGGTTGAGCGAATCACATCAATCAATCAATCAATGTTTATTTATATAGCCCAATATCACAAATGTTACATTTGTCTCAGTGGACTTCACAGTGTGTACAGAATATCAGTATGACAATACGACACCCTCTGTCCTTAGACCCTCACATCGTACAAGGAAACACTTCCAGAGAAAACCCCACAGTTTAAAGGGGAACATGGGAGAAACCTCAGGGAGAGCAACAGAGGAGGGATCCCTCTCCCAGGACGGACAGACGTGCAATAGATGCCGTGTGTAAATCGAAGAGATAATACATTTTACAGCGTAGGTAGACCAAATGTTTGGAAAGACCAAATGTTTGGAAATGCATGTGTAATAAATATAATATAAAAAATAATAAATAAAATAAGAAGATGAATCCACGAGGATGTCAGCAATCTTGTGGGAGCCATCAGGGAAGTAGTATGATGAGTCAGGCAGGACCACAGAGACAGGTTCAGCCACGACTCGAAATCCAGGACTCAGGATCCAGGACCACAGCAACAGGATCAGCCACCACTCAGGATCCCGGCGTATATGTAGACACCAAAAAGACATTTGGGGGAAGCTGGGTTAATCAGAACATGAGAGTGTACAGGTACAAACAGACAGAAGGAAGAAGTAAGGTGCCGCCCGACAGTCTAAGCCTATAGCAGCTAAACTAACGTGTCTACATACATGCACTCCCTTAGGATAGGTTGAGGGAAAGGGGTAGCAAGTAAGAAGTAAGGAACAGAGGTGGTCACACACAGGTTTAACTATCAACACAAGACATAGAACGTGCACATGTTTTAAAGGCATGCGTGTCGCCCATTTATTAACATTATTTATTGGTTCAAATGCTGTGTTGGAAGACTATTTTGTTCATTTGAAAATGTATCCAAATTGTGAACACTGCTGATCCTGGACTTCTTTTTTGGGTGTGATTGACTGTTTTTGGTCTACTTGGTTTTAACCGTACGTAGTTGACATGGTTCCGATCAAATGTAATCAGCAATATCATATGCCAAACATTCACAATTATTTTGGCCAACGAGAAATGCTCACTGATGGATTTCAACAATCTTGTGCACAAAATGAAGTAGAAGATTTGCTTTTGTACGAATATAGAGAGCCTTAAATATCTTTATTTCAACTCATGACCAATGGGAGTAAAAACACTGTTGTATTTATATATGTTTGTATCTATATAAATAGAGACTCTAGAGAATCTTGGAATCCACTGATCATTTCTCAAAAGAAAAATCTTCTCAGTGTTGCGAATGCTCAAACCTTTGATGCCGAAATCTGTGCCAAAAATATGATTCCATCTTAACTTTTGTATCATGTGTCTGCTCTGTGTGTGTAGATGTTCCTCACCGTGTACCTCAGCAACAACGACCAGCACTTCAACGAGGTCCCCATCACGCCGGAGACGCTGTGCAGGGACGTGGTGGAGCTCTGCAAGGAGCCCGGGGAGGGCGAGTGCTACCTGGCCGAGATGTGGAGGGGCTCCGGTGAGTTTAAATCCTCTAAACACTGAGAGCTAAACACCACTAGATACATGTTTGAACAGTAGCCATAAATGCACATTAACTTCCAGGTTTATGATCTTTTCTGAGATCCCAGATTAACAGTATATGTTGTGTTTTTCGAATCAGAACACATCGTTGGAGATGGGGAGCGGATGTTCGAGGTTTTGCAGAAATGCGGGCAGCAGAGGGGGGAGGTCCGTTACCTCCTGCGTCACCAAAGAGCTCCAGGACGAGAGTCAGGTATGAAAACACCTGCCTTACAAACACACAGGGTTCAACACAGTGGGATTTGAGTGTGTTTCTACATGGTAAACCGGTGAGGCATTGTTGCTGCCTCCCCCTCTGGTTGCTCCAGGGTTATCCTCCAAACTCCTCACAAATTGCGATAAACAGCCGGTGACTCCCTGTGTGTCCGATAGGTGATATGAGGCTGGAGGACAGCGGGTAGTTCACAGAGATAAACGCTGCAGGAAAGGGGACAGGCTGAAGAGAACACGAGGAAATTAAAAACACATGCCGTAGAAGTTTGTAATTTCGTGCCATAAAATCTTTATTTGGTAAAAGTCAGATGGACACTTTATTTGTTTGAATTGTGTTTCATGCTTTAAGGTCGTAAAAAGTCTGCTTAAACAGTAGATGTGATTTTGTAAAAAAGGTTGGTTTTCTACATGGAATAGAAAATGTTGTTCAATGGTTCAAAGACTGTCAATTGAAAAGGCAAAAAGGGAGAAAGTAACCTCTGAGTAACAGTTCAATAAGAACAGAGGAAACCAGAAGTCAATGGTTAAATAAGCTGAATTATTCATATTTTGTACTCTTTCAAAATAGTAAACTATTGAGCATACACACTGATATAACAGCTGATTGCAAGCATTTGAACAGTATTGTGTATGAACTTGTACTTTTAAAGTGCAGCACACAGTTATACTTGTTTATTGTGGGTGAATGTCACAAAAGGAGCACGAGGGTCGGACGGTTTCTGGTTTTATCCCACACAGCATTTGGCCCAACTCTCAATGCCGTACTACAACATCTGCATCATGTATTGCTTCAACCATGTTCAGTGAAAGAGGATTGATCTTGCGGGGGATGTGAGGTGGGGCAAGGACTTGGCAGCTTTCTCTGAACACCCCTTTAAATTATGGAGGTTGTGGTTAACGACCAGCTGTGATTGGTCGAGGTCAAACGTGTAATCCGTTATTTCTCTCGGCCAAGTCACAGCAAGACTTCCTGACTCAGCTCAGTGTAAATGTAAATACTATACTGTATGTAAACTGATGCATTTTAGTGTATAACTGCTGTTTTGTGGTCTTTATTTTAATTACATTGGTTTAAAATCATAGGTTCAGGAAATCTAAAAACAGGTTTAAAATCTAGATACAGGGAATTTAAAAAAGAAAGGCACGTCTCAAGTTCTCGGGAAGGCTTTGGTTTATTCATGTATTTTATACCTGTGTTATTAATATCTTCTATTTACTCTATTATCTTTGCTTTTTAGTGACTGTTTTGAAATGTCATTTTATAATGTGTTTCTGCTGCACTATTTCTTAATGACTTTTATTTGTTGTAAAGCACTTTGAATGACCTTGTGTTGAAAGGTGCCATATAAATAAACTGGCCTTGCCCATGTCCTTATTTAATATACTCAAATGTTTATTTATTGAGTACTCAGTTTATTAGCAGATGCACTTCGCTTGGAATACAAACTCATGTTTTTACATAAAGTATAGGTTAAAGGTGGGGTAGGTACGTTTGGGAAACCGGCTCGAGATACAATTTTTGTTATATTCCATGGAATGCTCTTAACATCCCGATAGCAACGAATATCTGAAGTGCTTTGACAAAAAATCCATAAAAAAATCTGTGGAAGCCGTAGTACTGTAAAAAGCACGACCAATCATCTGAGCCGGCCCGGCTAAAGTAACTGGATGGCCTACCTGCCTGTCAGCCTTCCATCTGTGCACAGACTCATCTCGTGCCCTCATTGGTCATGTGCACGTTCGTGTGTGTTGGAGGAGGGGCTCTGTAAGGAAGTGGCAGATTTTTTCCGGCTGTGTATTTTCAAATTCTAGCGCGCTCGAGCTGGTTTCTTCAGAAACAAAAAGCAAAGCAAATTGAATTAATAGAAATGTAAAATGGAAACAGTAGAANACGAAAGTTTCGGGTCAAAATATTTACCTGCTTAAAGTTAGCACACAGCCTCAAAAGACTTATGTGCATATATTAATGTCTCCTAATCCTTCACAGGGATCATAATTCCTATGGCCACTAGAGGGCTTTAACGTACCACATGTTTTTTTGGCTTTTTTTCTGAAAAGACTGATCATGGTTACGGTCACCTATTAAGCAAAATCCACTTGTTCATGTCTTTTATACATAAACATGTGTCCCCTCTGTGTTAAGAGATTCTGAAAGTTTCAGGAAAAAAGACTCGCTCTCTTATTGGATGCTGCAATGACCTACAAAACATGTCTCTGAAGTGTTTGGCATTTGAAGCCAAACACTTCAGAGACATGTTTTGTATATATCTGAGACCTATAACATATTGATGAAAAATAGTATAATAGGGGACCTTTAATGTATTGTTTTCATTTGCCACTTTAACAATTGTTTAATTTATAAACGGTTATTTTCCCCCATCTCCATAAACTCCACCTGACTGTTCTTCTGTTTACAGGATAATTATAATTATCACTCTTTATATCAGTATTTGTCTTTCAATTATTATTATTTTGCAATTGACCAATATTTGGTGTGCGTGTGCAACTCTAAAAGTAGAGAAAATACAGAAGAGGTCTCCCTCCTTTTTGTATTTGATTAACTAGTAGCCTACATTCTTCCTGCCTTGGCTAAGCCAGCACACTTATTGAGCTACGCTGATTTATTTCCAATTTCATTGAGATTGTTTTCGAAATGGTGACCAAAACTTGCACCTTATACCTAAATGATCCGTCTTTGGTGATGACAAAGCTAACCAAATAACAAAGTGAAAGCCCCAACAGTCAACGCTACGAAACCTAGTGAGGAGCTGTTGTTGTTCCTAATGAGACGTGACAGTCCTCTTCCAAACTCAGGTTATTTCAGACCAAACATCCTGACATCTCACCGGTGGATGATGGAGTGAAACTCATTTGTGGTAAGCAAGTGAGTTGGAGAATATCAACCCACTGAAGCAGCTTTCTGTCATACTGTACAGCATGTATTCTTAGTAAGATCTTCAAGGTCAACGCAGCTTCACTCCAGATGACAGGTAATCTGGGCCGCTCTAATGGAAACCTGCTGCGGCGACATGCTTCCAGCTCCAGCTGCATGCATGTACGCACAAAAGTGCTGACAGCGGCTGTCAGATACGCATGCAAATAAGTAGAAACACGGCTGCCTGCACATGGACACACACACAGCACGCACACGCACGCACACGCACAGACAAATAAGAGTTGTGTGTATTCTAGACTGATAGTAGGACTCACAAATGGATAATTGGGGTTTTGCAGCAACGTCTCGATTGAGCGCAGTGCCATATTAAAGAGAGCAATGCACTATGGTGATAAAGAGGATAGCTGATTCGTTTAATTTGAATGAATCAGTTAATGAATGGGACTGTAAGAACAGGAATGTAATCACTACATAGAGGTCATAAAATAAAACTGCACTGTTAATGAAAAAATAAATACTAATTCAATATAAGGTATGATCTGGAGAACTCCACATATCAGCTTAAGTTAATGTGCATTAGAATTAAGCCTATCCTAATTAGTTAATCAGTTGATAAATAGTATAAGGGTCAGTGATGATATTGAAGATCTGATACAGAAAACCCTTAGCCATTATTTTTAGCTGAATTTCATGAGTAGCCATATTTTCATTACACTGCTATTTAATACATTCTCAAATGTACGGTTTTATAGCGGCAACATGTGGGAAATATGAAGCCTTTAAGTTGGATTCTCTCCAACATCCAGCAGGGGGCGCGTTTTCTGATTTAAAAAAGAAGTAGGAATGTATAGAAGACTATAAGAAAATGTCCCTACTTCTCGTTTGACGTCTAACTTTACTACACATACTCCTGAATAGAGTGCTGCCAGTTTCAAGTTTCAAGTAGTAAAGCATGATGTTTATTTCATAAGTTGTGGTCCCGTTTTGAGTAAAATTGAAATCGAAGCAGGTCCCGACCCTACCAAATGTTTCAGTTCTGTTTGGGTGTTGTCCTAGCTGTATTGTGTATTTAACTCGAAATGGAACCATAGTTTACAAAATAAATATCATGCCGTATTAAAGAAGACTTGAAATGTGTGATGTTAACTGAGGTAGTACATTAAATGAGAAGCTGGAACATTTTCTCATAGACTTCTATGCAATGAGACTTATTTTTACAACAGGTAGAGTTGCCAGCTGCTGGCCATTTGAAATAATGTAGACGAGGCCCTTCAGCATTGGCTTTTCACTCAATCACTTTAAAGATGTTGCCCATTCAACTAAAACAATAAAACCTGTGGTATAACCTCTACCTTCCCTCCTCTACAGCCCGGAGGAACCGACTGGAAATGATGGCGGAAGGAAAACGCTGACACAATGTCAATTAAAAACACAAGGGGAACAAAGAAAATTGTGAGAGATAAAAAGGAAGGAAAAGAAAATGAGGGATGAGAGGGGGGTTGTGTGTGATGTTCGTGTGTGTAGAAACATGTGACCTGGTAAAAAAAAAAGCATGAGCCGGAGAGACCAAGAGAGAAGACAGAGAGGTTATGAGCAGGAGAGTGGAGAACAGAAATAGCTGATGCCCATTATCATCACCTCTACCTGTCGGGCTGTCGCACCTCTAATTATTGCTGCCACATCGCCACGAATAGCACGCAATAAAGTGTATGTGTGTGAGTGTGTGTGTGTGCGCTTCTGTAGATGTACTTGAATACAGATTATTTATCCATGTACAGGATATGTTTTTATTCCACATTTGTGCACCTTTACAAGACATGTTCCGGGATGTTGAGTCTCTACAGTATGTCTCAGTTCCTGTTATTCTTTTTGTGATCTTGACATCGTGTGTGTGTGTGTGTGTGTGTGTGTGTGTGTGTGTGTGTGTGTGTGTGTGTGTGTGTGTGTGTGTGTGTGTGTGTGTGTGTGTGTGTGTGTGGAGATTATACCTTTCCTGTTAACCACCTGGAGAGAGGCAGCCTGGTGAGAGAAGCTTAAGGAGAATTTAATCCTAGCCTTAATGTGACAGCAGCATTTTCTGCAAAACTACCATCATTACTAAACTGTTGAGCCTCAGTGTGTGTTGTGTGTGTGAGTGTGTGTGTGTGTGTGTGTGTGTGTGTGTGTGTTTGAGCATCTCATGCAAACACACACAAACACACACACTTACACGCCTCCTTAAAAGCAGACATTTTGCAGGAGGATACAGTAAGTGTGACTGCATGTGTCGTCTTAAGCACACTGTGAGCAGCC